GGAGACTGGAGAAATACAAAGTATGGTGTATCCATCGAATGGGATACTTTTGAAAGGGCTTCCATTTTAGCTCAGCTGGTAAAGAATCTGCCTGCAATGTGGGAGATCTGGGTTTTAATCCCTGTGTTGGAAAGATCCGCTGGAGAAGGGAACAGCAACCCTCTCCAGTATTCTGGCCTGGAGAATTCCATGGACAGAGGAGCTTGGCAAGTCCATGGAGCCGCAGAGTCAGACACGTACTACTCAGCAATGCAAAGGGACAAACTAACACACAACAACATGGACTGAAGTCCAAAAAATGTTGAATAAAAGTAGCCAGGCAGAAAAGATATACTATATGACTCCATTTATGTAAAAACTTGTTATAGTGAGAGAAATTAAAACAGAATTTGCCTCTGTTGGGGGATAGAAAGCCTAGACTGACTGGAGAACATTTTGAGGTGCAGAAAATGTTCTATGTCTTTATCTGAGTGACATTCGTATGAATTAAGTGGCAAAATTCATTGAGCTGTAGTCTTGAGGTTTGTGCATGTTACTGTGTATAAATACCTCAATAAAGTGCTATTAATATTAGCATATTAAAAAGTTTTAGAACGGGGAATATGTGTTATGTGGGAAATGAAAAAGAATGCTTAAAAATGCTTTATCAAGTGAAAAGCCTTAAAGAGTGACAATTCTGTATAATGTGTCTGGCTGCATTGTTACCCAGCATTTATTTTAGGGAATGATTAGCTCAGGACCTTTTCTTCCTTTCTTTCCCTTGTTTGACTGCTGGTCTGATTTCACTGTTTATTGGCATCTTATGCAGCACATTGAAGGAGAAAGTACAAAGCGTGGGTGGGGGTGGGAAATTTGCAATTGGAAGGCACTGCAGTATCCAGAAATGGACAGAGTTTAGGTGGGTTTCCTAAAAGCAGAGCTGGAGCGGGGATTTTTGAGCAAGTGATTTATGGAGGCAGAGGTCTCAGGTGAACCTGTGAGGGGGCCAGGATGGGGTCCAGAAAGATGCTGGGCAAAGATGTGGGCTGGGTGGAGTCTGGCCTCAACCAGAACATTCTGGAGCTTGAATGACACCACACAGTTGTTTCACTGGAGGTAAGAAGCTTGGGCTTCTGCGTCCCTGTCTCTATGGGTCATGGCAGGGGGTGGAGTGGGTTCGGGGTGTCTGCTGCATATACACGTATGTTCTCATGCAGCCACGTGTGGGGCAACTTCTAGGCATTTCCTGGACTTTTCCTGAGATGGGAGCAGCTGTGAACTATCAGCAGCCAATGCTGACAGCAGCTGGTCTAGGGGATCTGGACAGGCAAGGACAGCTCCCAAGGCCATCACAGGACTGGTGCAGCCAGTATTGAGGATAAACTGGTAATACCAATTCAGGTCCTTAAAAGGCAAGGGGACTAGAGAACCCACAAGGAGGTCCACAGAGCCCCAGAGCACTGGGAGAAGATGGCATGGGCCATGGGCTTGCTTTGGAGAAAGTGGGATATGCTGGCACCTGGTTGGAATTTAAAAAGAACCTCTAAAGAGAAAACCAAATTCTGGATTCCAATTACAGGTATTCAAAATACCCTGTACTTTTTCTTCACTGTAGTTATCACAATTGCAATTGAATTCTAATTGTTTTTGGGCTTATTTAATGTCATCCCCACGATACAGTAAATGCTAGGAAGAGACTCATGATACCACACAATTACTCCTATATCTCTCATGCCTAGCACATATTAGGTGCTCAATAAATACAGATGAAGGAATGAGTGGGTATGTTTAAGAAAATAGAAGAAAGGGGTTCATAGAGGTGATGTCTTAGCTCAGTTGTTTTACTTTCCTGGAATGCCTTCCCTGCTGCCCATACCAACCCAAGCCCAGCCTGTAGTGTCCAGTTCATCACTTATCTCTGTCAGGTGTCTTCCTCCTAACTCACCATGCACAGTGCCATTTAGTGCTTATGTGAAGTCTGTAAACCTTGCTTTTGTAAGTGGTTTTCTGTATTTATCAGTCATCTAACTCATTACAGAAAGGGACTGGTTGGAATTTTTTTGATGGCCAAGTTCCTGTTTTGCCTTTGGTTTCTAGGATGCTTCTTTTCTTTCTTTCTTTCTTTTTTTTAAATTTATTTTTATTAGTTGGAGGCTAATTACTTTACAATATTGTAGTGGGTTTTGTCATACATTGACATGAATCAGCCATGGATTTACATGTATTCCCCATCCCGATCCCCCCTCCCATCTCCCTCTCGACCCGATCCCTCTGGGTCTTCCCAGTGCACCAGGTCCAAGCACTTGTCTCATGCATCCAACCTGGGCTGGTGATCTGTCTCACCCTAGATAATATACATGTTTCAATGCTGTTCTCTCTAAACCTCCCACCCTCGCCTTCTCCCACAGAGTCCACAAGTCTGTTCTGTACATCTGTGTCTCTTTTTCTGTTTTGCATATAGGGTTATCATTACCATCTTTCTAAATTCCATATATATGTGTTAGTATACTGTAATGGTCTTTATCTTTCTGGCTTACTTCACTCTGTATAATGGGCTCCAG